TCAAGTGATCAACTAAAAGCAAAATACTGTCCATGATGAAAATTTACAAAAGAAAAAATATTGGAGAAGTTCAGCAAGTCTGGCAGCATCTGTGCAGAGAGAAACAGTTAATGCTTCAAGTCTGACATGACTTCTGCAGAACTAAAAGTTCCGAAAGAGTCATAAAACTCAATGTCAACTCTTTCTCTCCCACAAGATACCACTAGACTGGCTGAGTTTCTCCTGCATTTTCTGGTTTTACCTCATGCTATCCATTCAATTCAAGAGAACCACAAAGCCAAGAAGGAAAATGACCAACTTAAAAAGAAAAGAAATGACTGCAATTCTTGCATCTCACTTCTTTTGAACCTCATTGGCCACAGATATCAAGTTTCAATCTCTTTGCTCTTATGGATTTGGCTACAATCGCATCAGGAGATGAAAAGGAGATGTAACATTGCATGTAATGATGAATTGCAGAGGTTGTCAACCAGGTCACTGCGTCACTTGCTCCTTCTCAAAAAAGGAGAAGCAATAGGAACCAGGAAACCAGCAAACCTATCAACTATAATGATCAAAATTTCCAAATTAGATACAGTACATATTGTCCAGTGGCAATTATGACAGCAAGTAGTTACTGCATCTATAAAGGCATTTACATTTACATACAATTAAATGCAATGCAACATATTTAAGGAAGATAAAGAGCAAATCATGGAATGATGTGAGCTAATCTTAGTCAAAGTGACTGATGCAACTAAAATACTCTTAAATTCTACGCTGTCATTTAAAACATTACCCACAACTGAAGCCCGAAAGAAATTTAGGCCAAGAAAGCCTTGTTCAATGTTTACGAACAAAAAAATTGCAAACATCTTTTAACAAAAATTCAACCTCCAAATTGTTGACTTAGGACAGACCTACAAACTTCTCCTCTTACCTCCTTCCCAGTGACATAACTGGAATGATTCAATTCACTTTATTGCAAATTATATTCCAGTGCAGATGGAATGGACATGGGAGCCAATCTAAAAGAGATGTAACCTAAAGCCATGGCATGGCAAACAAACTATTGCTACTCACTATGATAATTCCATATCCTGAATTTTTTTTGGTATATTCATAATTAGGTGCATTACAGCTGATTTCCGATGGAACTAAGAATAAAACATGGCATAATGACATTGCAGCAATGCTCATTTTTTCATTATATTTCAGAACTTCACAAACAGAAGTAAAAAAAAAAAAAAAATCACCTCAAAACTTTCCAAAACGCTTTACACATTTCAAATTACCTTGTAGCAACATAACTATTAGTAGTCAAATATGGCAATCATTAATATCTCAACTCAATGAATAATCACTTTATGGCGACATGAACTCAGGGGAGAAAAGTTTGTGAAGGCACTGAGCAGTTCGCTGCTTCAGAGGTAGCCCACTTTAACAACTCATTTAAGAAACCATCAATTTCCACACTTAGGTACAAACAGCAGACAGCAAATTACAGGTGCCAAGTTCAAATTGAATATCCAATTCAGTAGGCTGTTTTATTCAATAAACTTCATTCTCACTAATCAAAGACAAAGACAATGTGGAGAAATGAAAGACATGGGCTTAATAATCCTCAAACTTTGCAACATATACTCGATTCTTCTTCACATCAGTATTCCACAATTGGTCCATTTAAAAGTTAACTAAGTATTTCTTTTGAACTGATTTTATATTTCAGTATTTCTTTCATATCTTTACATGCCAATTGTTCTCAATATTCCTATCATACAAAGCCCAAACAATTGGTTTTAGCTGCAATATCTCACTGGACAAGTTTCAAACAGAGATATAAACTTTAAGGGAAACGTATATAAAAGGAAAACATGCCAAAAAAAATTTGTATATATTGACCAACAACTGAAAATCCTATATCACTGAAAAAGTGATTTTTTAACCCATTTTATGGTATGCTCAGCTCACCATTTACCAGTTAGAATCCAGCACAATAACTGGTTTGAATAGAAGGGCACATTAATTTGATGGTCCTTTAAATGAGACAACCATATCACTATGCACCGATATAGGTCTCTGACCAAAGATTAAGATGATCTACACCAGTCTGTAACTCACCTTTATTGTTGAATATTCTGGCCCATTTTCTTCCATCCAAAGGTCTTGCTCATAGTAATATAAACCATCATTGATAGCCTTTGCAAGCTCTGTTGAAATTTTTGCTCGGGAAACATGATTCCCTGTACGGTCACCACCCGGGTGTTTGCGCAGGTGAGGAGGAGTCTGAGTCACAATCAAGATCTTGTTCACATCACGATCATCAATTTCATAATCTGAATCATCATCTGACCAATCTGTGAAAGTATTCTTGCGTCCTTCTATCTGCTCCATTTCTTCATCAAACATGAAATCCAATTCCTCCTGCTCCTCTTGTTCCTGTTTGAGCACTTGAGGTTTGAGTGACTCATGTTCCTACAAATCAGCAAAATCACATAATTAAATGGTTTATAAAATAATAAAACTTAATTATTGCTTGGTACAGCAAAACAAAATTGGTGTATCTTGATATTTTCTAATGAACCTGTTCAAAGGCATTACACATCTCTGGAGCAGATGGGACTTCGACCAGGCCCTCTTGGCTCAAAGGTAGACACACAACCGCTACACAAGAACCCTTTGGTTTATGTTGAAGAGTACAAATCTCAGCTGCTTTTGCATGGACCACTCACTGTTCAATTTATACTGCAGTTTAACCATGTAGAGCTGATGTCTTTTGCAGCAGGTGCAATGATTTACTCAGTTGCACTAAGGTTGAGGGACTGTAATTAAATGGAGGAAACACTTGGGGGATTGCTCTTGCACCAGAGAGCATAAAAACAGATTTAATATGTTGATCAAAGGTTGGTTTTCATTGAGAAAAGGATTGTTAACCAGAAGACAGAGTTAAAATATAAGCTAAAAGAGGAGGCTGAAGAAAATCTTTGCAGGAAATGACCTAGGAGATTGTACTGCCTGACAATGGAAAAGAAGATTTAACAGTAATTTTCAAAAGGCATTTAGACAAATACTTGAAGGAGAAACTGCAGAGATAGGAGGAAGGAGCCAGAGTTGGACTAATCAGATAGCTTTTCCAAGAATCAGTGCAGGCATTAGTTAAATGGAATACTCTGCAAATCTGTGACCATACATTTCCAAGATGGACAATCGCCATTAAATTCACCATTGGGTAACTGCAACAGGTCACTCATCAATTTCTCCAGAATAGATCATGATCAAAAAATATTATACATGCATACATAAAGATCTCTAACATTGCAAAGTTACTCAAGACATTTCACAGAAAAAGAAATCCCTATGTGGATGTGCAAGGCCTTGAAGAGGTGATGGTTTTGAAACACCTTAAAAAGCAGAGAAATTTGGCAAAAGAGAAAAATTTTCTTTGACAAGAGAGGAAGAATTAAATGGAAAAAATTCCATCTGAATTGAGATGCTGCAATGATTGCAATTGTTACATCTTGAATGGCAAGCACAAGCTGTAAACTTTTAAGTCACAAGAGTTACACGAATGGATCCAGGAAAGAGAAACTTTAGTTATCAGGATAGACTCAATTTCTTCAGTCTATTCTCCTTGGAGATAAGATGGCCGAGAGGACATTTGATAGAGATTTTGTAAATCATGAGCTGGCTGGTGAGATTAGATCAGGAGAAGCTGTTTCTGTTCATAATAAGCACAAGAGGCATAGATTTCAGATGACGTATGAAAAAAATCAAGGACAATGTCAGAAAATGTTTTTCACTCAGCAACTAGTTAGGTTATGGAATGCCCTATGTCTTAATTGTGACCATTCACTAGGATAGAATGAGTACACAAGAGGAGAAGGCAGGAGATTGGCACAGGTAATGTTGCTCATTTGTAGAGCTGGTGCAAGTATCATAGGCTGAATGACCGCCACCTTTGCTGCAACAATTCTGTGGTTGAGTGTTGCAGATATTGAAGATAATTGACAAGACCCTGAGAATTGTATTAAATTAAAAAGTCATGGAACAACAATTTTGAATGCAAACATTAGAATTCAAGCTTTGATTTAAGTGATAACTGTTCTTTACTCAGCACTCTCATAGTAGGGTTTGTTTTTAAATTAACACTAGTGCACAGAGTTAATACCAAACAAAAAAATTCATTCAATGCAGCTGTGGTCTATAACAGCAAGTCTACTTCCATCCAACAACAAATCTATTTCCATCAAATATTAATGCTGAACGTAGGCCTGCTTACTGAAATTTGTGAACATGTTTTACAACTGGTATAACGCAGCACTGTTAGCAAAATCTTTTCATGTAAACAAGATAAGAGCATAATAAAAGTGGAAGTAAGGTTATGATAGCAAAAACCTTTGATTAACATAACCAATTAGATAGTGTGATTGGGCAACCTTGTTTTATTCTGAATAGAAGAGCTATACTTGACGGACCAAGTGAACTCTAAACAGTTACGTTTATCTTAAAACAATAAAATTGTCAGTTTTCAGTAAATACAGAATGTAATCAGAAGTGTACAACTTCAGGGATGTAACCTGCGAAGAGGTTTTTTTAACAAAATGATATCATGTCTCCTGTGATGGAAAGCTATGACACAGACCCACCAATCTACAAACTCGGAAGTCTTTAGTGCCCAATTTGTCTGAATTGCTTACTCAAATTTATTACCTGTATGTTTCAGTTGTTCAAGAACAGGTTTAAGTTTTGTTGAATGCTTCACACTTTTTGAACATTTCATTCTCCTAGTTTCCTGGTGTTCACGCTTTAAATAGTCTTATTTGTTTTGCTTTTATATTATTTCTTTGCTATAGCAGGCTTTAAAACTCAACGTTAAGAGTTTTGAATCTGAAGCTCAATTTGTTGACTTGAAGGCAGTCATTGAACAAGGGTTTCAGTTACCGTGGGGGCAAGGCCAATCTTTCAAAGACCTTGGAGGGGAAAGAGGTCAGAAAGCAATAAGTCGAGTAGAGATCACAAGTAGGCATCTTGAAGACAGAAAGGAGGATATAATGTTAGCTGGAAAACAAACAACACTTCTGCAGAAAGGGGGCATGAAAGACATTATGAAATGTTTGAATATGGAAATGTACTTTAATGAATGGGGGAATTGAAGCAGCAAAAGGTGGATCTCTGAAGATAAGCTTCATGCCAGCTGAGAATGATGTATCTGGTTGAATCCCACCTTCAAACCTTGGTTCCTTAGACCTTGGCACATTGGTATAATATTCATATTTTTTAAAAAATGCCATGAGGGTTTCTGCCCCCATCTTTTCAGGCAATGTTTTCCAGATTGTCATCTTCCTTTGATGAAAAAACCCTACTTTCTTCCAATCCTATCACTTGACATCCACACCCTCTTTCCACTGACCTTGACAATGGAACTAAGATCATCCTATTCACTAATTACAGCCTTCATTTAAATCTTCCCTTAGCCTCCTCTGTTCCAAAGGAAACAAACTCAACCCAACCAATCTTTCCTAAAATTTTCCATTCCTGCCAAAATCCTGGTTAAACTTTTCAATATCCTTTTAAGTAATCACATATTTCCTACAATGCTAGAAATCAGCTAGAACTGCATATTTGCTCGAGCTGTGACCTAACAATTTATACAGATCTAGCACAATCTCCCTAATATTATACTGTGGATTATGGCTAGTAAAAAAAAAGATATTTATTCACTGTGCCTTCTTAACAATCTTCTCAACTAATTTCATGTCTGTTTCTCTCTACTTCAAAATCCTAACATTTACATGTGTTCTTTGCCTGGTTTGTCCTTGCCAAATGCATTACAACAACTTCTTCCAGATGAATTGTACTTGCGATCTTTCTAGCCACCTGGCTAGTCTACTGATATTCTCCTACAGCCTACTGCTTTCTTCTTCACTATCAACTACATGGATTATCTTATGTACCTGATTAAAGATGTTTGCATTCTCCCACAAACAAATCTGAAGTACTGATACAGAACATGACAGCAAGGGGTCCAAGTACTGCACCCAATTGGAAATGGCCTTCCTGTCATAAAACAAGTAGCTGATCGTAACCTTTTGCTTTTGCTACTGAGGCAATTTTTGGTCCAACTTGTCACTTTTTTTGTGGATCTTTATCAGTTTTTATTTTTGAGGAGTGAAGCCATGTGGAATCTCATCAGAAGTCTTGCTAAAATTTATGTAGACAATAAAACCTCGCTGACCTCCGTGTTACTTCCACAAAGATCTCAATGCAGTTAGGTAGACCTGATCACCCCTCAACAAATCTATAAACACTGTCCTCAATTAATTGGTGACTCTCAATTATGATTACAGGTATTTCTGCTATGACACCCATTTCGTTAATGCAAACTGCCTGAAACGTGACTGATGAATACTGGATGCTATTTGGATAACAAATTTTCTGCTGTACCATCTATAGTGGTTTCCCTATAATACAATTTTCTATAGCACAAGGTCACACAAGAACGCAACTATGGCGTTATAAGAGAAATACCTTGTAGAATGCTTGAATTGTTTGTCAAGGTCAGAAGTCACACAAGGTTACAGTTCAACAGATTTATTTGAAATCACAAGCCCTCATGAGTACTGCTCCTTCGTCAAGTGATTTCACTTCAGTCCAATACCATCACCTACACATCAAATTGTTTGTGATTTACTCCGTACGGAGGGTAACCTAACCTGCCTATGTTTACCCATACTGTCTTCTTCTATCTCTAAATAACAATACAATGTTAGCAGTCTTCTAGCACCATGCTTGCATCTAAACCAGATTTGAAAAGGGGTCACAGCTACTCATTTTTTTTTTTGCTTCTGTCAGGAACCCGGGGCATATTTCATCCAGGGAGACAACTTCCTACAGTCGTAGGTGCCAAGCACCTCAATACTTCCTACTCTGCTATGTTTTTTGCATCTTTAATACCTCTCAGATACAAATTTCTGCTTTCTCCCAAGTCTTTTGTGAAAACTGTCCCAAAGTGTTCACTAAGAACCACACTGAATTCTTCCATCTCCACACAAGTCACCATATTGCTCTCCAATTGGACCTATTCCTCGGTTATCCTCTTGCTTTCTGCGTATTTATAAAGACATATTTGGGTTTTCCTTAATTTCGTTTGCCAATAATTTTTATGTCTATCTTTGCCTTCATATTTTCCTTTAGGAATACACCCCCACATTTTTTAAACTGAGGATTTCTGAAGTACTAAATTCTTGACTTCTGATATACACTTCCTTCCCTGTTATATCTTACTCTGTATACTCAATATATACCGGGGTCTAGATTTGCGAATTCCAAACATTTTCTTTCAGGGAACACATTTGTTCTGAAGACTCTGAAATTCTCATGAGTCTAAACTCAAAATGTTTAAAGGGGCTTATTTTTGTAATTTGGTAAAATGGTGAATCACAGGCAGACTTCAGGAAAGCTAATTATAATCAATTAACTACATAATTAATAGAGTAATATCATCTTCAATAGCACCATTGACCAAGATTGAAGGATGAAAATATGAATTAATTCAATTACTTTTTACATCAAGGTGATGTCAAATTAAGGTCCTGCCGCCCATGATGTTGAAGCATTTTGAGCACCTCAATTGAAAGCCCCAGGAAACATGCCATCTACCAGCTTTTTCAGCAGACCTCCAGGTTACCATATACTCCCTGTAGCTAGCAAAATGGGTCCTCCGAAATCCACAATATTGTTGGCACAGATTCAGTACATTGAACAACAGTGCAGGGAATGGAAAGGAGACATTTGGAAGCATCATGTAACAGTAAACAATAATTTTATTCATGGAGAATCTGCATTGACCAACAGATTCTCTTAATTGGTCACCATTCATTCGTAAGGCTCACAGTCATCATACCGGTTTTGTGCAATTGAAATCTTTAGCCTACTAATATGGAACAAACCAAAACAGTGCTTTAAAAAGAGTTACACATGGCTTACTTTCCATGAATGTACCAGCACCCCTTGTCCACAGAAGGCCAGCAACGAGTGATTCTCAGATTGTTTCTTAAATAGATGAAGGGAGAAAGAAGTAGTGAAGAGAGATGGAAGACCGGAGGCTTTATGAACAAACAAGTGAGAAATTAATGATTTTACATGAGGGAAAGGAGATGTTGCCTGTCAGAAGGAAGGAAATAGCAAGTACACAGCAGTGGCATAATGACAGGGAGAGCAAGAGGGAGATGGGGGAAGAGACGCAGGAAATGGAAATTGCACCAAAGGAACAAAGTAGATTGGACGCGAATAATCATTAAGTGCCACAAAATTCAATAAATAATTTCATAAGTGTCCACTGTATTGTGGCACACTGATCCAGTTCACTGGTTGAAACCAAGATTAGCATTCCTATGTTACAGCAAATGAAGTAGAGAATTAACAAAAAATAAAACACCATTTTCAATTTAACTGACAAATTTTATCAAATTGTTACATAAATGATAGTGTAAATTATGATTAATGACTACAGAATTGCTAAAATAATGTTTTGCAATTAAGATGTTAACTGAAAATTCAAGACAGGAAACTAAGTGGCCAACAGGTTGTCTTGCAATCTCAAGAGCCTGTGCTTATATGAATAGCAATGTCCTCTAAAAATGTCAAGCATTCCTATTTGAAATGAGCTTAGCTTGTTTCAAAATGCCTAACTCAAAATACAAACTGTTGGTAATTGTGCACCATAGACAAAATTCAGAGTGTGGTAAATACAAAATATTACACTGGTACATGAGCATATTTAACACTGATAAAAGTAGAAGAGTTATCCCCTATTATTAAAGGTGGATTCTCCTACTGCAGAAATTAGCCACTGGCAAAAATGCTTTTCCATTAACTAAATCTCTGGTTACAGTCTAAACCAGACATATGCAAGGGTTGTTCAATATACACTGCACCCTTCATGGCCAAAATTAGTCAGGGAAAACAGAGCAAACAAAAGCATCAATCTTTGAGACTTAAGTGCAACTTAGAAGAGAGATGGGAAATCAGGGCCATTCTGTAGAACAGCCTACATTACCCTAGATAATGGAATGTTAAATAGGTCACAGAAGCTTAAGGCAGCCATTCAGCCTATCATCATCATAATATCCCTACAGTGTGGAAACAGGCCATTCGGTTCAACAAATCCACACTGACTCTCTGAAGAGCATCCCACCCACACTCACTCCCCTACCTGATCCCTGCAGTTCCAATGGCTAATCTACCTAACCTACACATTGCTGGACACTATGGACAATTTAGTATGGCCAATCCACCTAACCTGCATAACTTTGGACTGTGGAAGGAAACTGGAGCACCCAGAAGACATGGGAAGAATGTGTAAATTCCACACAGGCAGTCACCCAAGGCTGAAATTGAACCTGGGGTCCCTGGCTCAGTGATGCTAACCATGGAGCCACTGTGCTGCCTGTTTCTAAAATGAAAGCGAGAAACTATCAAGTCTGCCTTGCCATTCAATGAAATCACAGCCTGACCTGATAATTTTCAATTTCACTTTCAGGAAGATGGGGTTGGAGAGGAGAGAAGGAAAGGTTTCAGAAACCTATAGAATTCAAGGATGAGGTAGATGCGAGAGGGATGTTCCTGATGGTGCGGGAGTCCAGAACCAGGGTCACTGTCTAAGGATACGTGATAAACTATTTAGGACTGATGTGCAGAGATGTCTTCACCCAGTGTGTGCAGAATTCACTATCACAGAAAGCAATCGAGGCTGAAATATACTATAATTTTAACAACTAGTTGTACGATCAGCCATGATCATAACGAATAGTGAAGCAGGCTCAAAAAAAAAAAAGGGCCAAATGTCCTACTCCTGCTATTTTCTAATGTTTCATGTTGATTCATCTCTGATGTCAATTACAATATATGGCATACAAATGACAGTTTTGGCACCAAAAGATCTAACATTAAATTAGTTCGTAATAAATATATTTTGTAGTTAGGAGAATGAAAATGTATACCTTCGGATTCAGTTGTGATGGACGATGTCTTTTCTTCACTTCTATCCAAGAATCAGATTCCAGATCAGGCAAACTTGTCGAAAGTCCCTTAGATACTGTCTGAAGGTTGTTGGCTTCAGCATTTTTCTTTGCATCAACAGGACTTCCTACCCTTGGGGAGCTAGGAGCAGATTCTGAAAGTCACAAAATACAAAATATATTTTAAAATAAATGTCCATGCCACATTACATATGATCACAACTGCACAATTTACAGTTTATAAACAGACATTTGGCAGATCTATGTCAGTGTTGCAATCCACATTGGTGGCCTCACATTTCATGACTTCAACGTTGTATCCCACTGCTCCTTGCTCTTTCAAATATACAATCGTCTCAACTGTTTAAGTACTGCCTGCTTCAGCCATTCTTTTTGAAAAGTTCCAGGTTCCCACCACTCAATGTGACTATTTCAGATTTATGCCTCCTTGTTTAATACTCACCAATAAGTGAACACCTGTCAACAATTTGTATTTATAGGACATTTCTAAAATTCCCCCAAAGTGAGTGGCAAAACAATTATCATAAAATCAGGCATCAAGCTGCATTAGGTGATATTGACAGATGATGAAACTTTTGGTCAAAACAGGTGGGTTTTAAGCCATTTCAAGACAGCACAGGTGCTTTGGGGTGGGGCAGAGATGGAAAAGCAAAAGAGAGCGGGTGTCAGATATAGGTGTAAGCAGCAGATAAGTCAGAACTGAGGAACACAGTCAGCTGTAGTTGGAATAGGCATCCCTTGACATGTAGTTGGCTCACATCAGATTTAAGATTTAGGATGGTGGCAATGTCAACATCAGGCAGATAAGGAGAAAGACAGAATCAGTGGCAGGGATGAATGGCTTTGGTCTTCCCAATAATTATCTAGAATAAAAGGTCAAACAATGAAACAGTGGAAGGGTGGAAAAGCATTTGGGTGTGATAAAGTTGAATGCGCGCATTTAATATTTTAAAAAAACTGGTTTATGGGATGAAGTATCACTGGCAATTCCAGTATTGTTGCCCATCCCTAATTTTGCTGAAGGTGATGTGTTGGGCTGCCTCCTTGAAACGCTGCACACCTAAACCGAGTGGACTGCAGAGTGCTGTAAAGAACAAACTTCCAAGTTTTGACCTAGTGACCATGGAGGAACAGTGGGATAATTCCAAGTGAGGATAGTATCCAGCTTGGTGAAATAACAGGCAATGCTGTTCGCATGTTCTCTGATGTCCTCATCCTTCTATAGGTCATCGGCTTGGAAGATGTTGCCAGAAAGGTTTTGGTGGATTATTACAGTGAATATTGATAGTACATACACCACTGAGAACCAATGTTGGAGGGAGTAAATGTTTGTGGAAATGTCAACAATCAAGTGGGCTGTTTTGACCTGATTGGTATCAGGGTTGTCAAGCCTTGTTGGAACTATGTACATTCAGGATTATGAAGGATTTTCCAACACACTTCTAATCTGTGCCTTGTAAACGGTGACAGGCTTTGGAGTCAAGAGATGGTGTTCTCCACAGAATCATCAGCCTCTGATGTCTTGTTGCAGCCACCCATATTTATGTGGTGTGGGGTCATGGTGGGGAGTTCAGCAACAGTAATACTGTTGAGTGTCAACACAATTTTGATTGATTCTTGTTGGTGATGGTTATTGCTCGACACCTAGGAGGCACAAACATGACTTCCCATTCATCAGCCAATGCCCAAGTCTTCTGCATATGGACACTGACTACTTCGGCACCAAAGGAGTTGCAGATGGCACTGACTTGATATCAGCAAACATATCCACTTTGACTTTCGACGTGGATGGAAGGCTAATGATGCAACAGTTTAAGATGGCTCGGCTTGGGCATTACCCGGAGAAAAATCTTGTTGTGTAAACTGGCACTGTGCTTTCAGATGTTCCATCACCAAAGAGCATTGCGCACATGGGTGAGGGCTGAGGACAGATTCTTGGAGCATAGAGATACGGATGGTGAAGAAAAAATAGAAACAATTGCAAGATTGTCAGGAATGGCATGTTTGTGTAGTTCCATTCAGATAGACAACAGTGAAGGAGCTGAACAGCATTACGTAGTCAATGATATCAAAGGCTGAAGATATGCTTAGAGTGATTATTTTGACCATATAATGTGTCAAGGGTGATTTTAAGAGCCAGTTTAGTCATGCAGCAGGTGTAGAAATCTGATTAGAATAATTCAAATGTGAAATTACAAGTAAGAGAGACATAGGTTTGGGAAGTACTAACATATCCCAGTTGTTGAGAATTAAGGGGTGTTAGTTTGCATGGATAGAGCGATTTTCTTTTGTTGCAAAAGGAAGTGTTTTGGAAGTAAATGTGAAGGAAGGCACCCTAAATGACAGAGCCAACATCAATTAACCTAAGAGGCAGAATGGGAAGTTGGATTGTCAGCAGTTTAATGGGATTAGGCAGGAGATGAGCAAATTTAGTTTGGCAAACTCCACGAGGGAAGATAGGAAAAAATAAATTCGACAAAGATGCAATTTCCAGACTCGGCCCTTAGACAGGAATTTGCTCAACAAGCTGGGGAAGTGGCAGAAACTGCTGATCAGACAGCTGCAATTTAATGGCAAAAAAACTGCCTAAGTTCATAACACAGAGCAAAATTTTAAACAGATCTCTTTTCTACAGCAACAGCTTCACAGTTAAAGCACTCTGTAATCAATGTATAAGCAACATTGAGTGCATAGGTCATAGCAAGAAGTTTTGAAGTAGAGTGTTTTTGTGGCACAGTGGAAGTTTCCTTACCACTAGGCTAGGAAACCCAGGTTCAAGTCCCACTTGCTCCAGAGCTGTGTAATAACATCTCCGAACAGACCAAGCAGAAAATTTGGGAAGTTTTGAAGTTGGTCAGAGTAAAAATTTGGGGTGAAAAGGGGATTTTCCCCCCCCCCCTTTACTCATTCATAGGATGATAGCGTCACTGGTTAAACAGCATTTATTGCCCATTCCTAATTGCTGTGGGTCTGGAGTCACATGTAGTCCAGATCAGATAAGAATGGCAGTTTCCTTCCCTAAAGGACATTAGTGAACCAGATGGATTTTTCCAATAATCAACAATGAATTCATGGTCATCATTAGATCCTTAATTCCAGATATTTATTGAATTCAAATTCCACCACCTGCCATGGCGAGATTTGAACCAGAGTCCCCAGAACATTATCTGGGTCTCTGGATTAACAGTCCAGCGATAATACCACTAGGCCATCACCTCCCCTTTAAGATGTCCTTCTTTCTGCCATTAACACTGATGCATAAACTTGAGGCTGCGAATACAGTGGCAGAGTTAAACAGTACGAGAGCATCAAGCAGAAGCAGACCCGCAGGCAACAAAAAAAGCAGCTCACGAAGTGGCATCATAACCAGCCAAGTGTTCAGCAGTGCAGTTAAAGAATTATTGCTAAATGTTTTCAAGATGTTAATTAAAAAAAAAATAGCTTCAAGCTGACAATCAGTAAATAATCATAATCTAACATATGGTAGACCAGGTTGTCTCACTAAAGTACAGTACGTGAAAGTTGGTACTTAACAGCAAGACCCATCCTGATCAAGAAAGCTGTGATTTGTTTACTTGGAGGTCAGATATTTCATTTTACTACTTCATGTGTTGCAGGCCTTGCTGGATAAGCTAGCATTTAGCCCCTAAGTGCCTGGAGATGGTGGCCTTCTTCAATTGCTGCAGTCCTTGGGCTGTCAGGGCACTTTACAGAGTGAATTCCAGGATTTTGAATCAAGTGACAGTGACAGAATGATAATTACAGATTCAAGTTAGGATGGTGCTAGGCTTGGCAGGGACATGCAGTTGGTGTTATTCCCATGCACCTGCTGCTCACGTTCTTCTCGGTAGTAGAGGTTTGATATTAGGAAGGTGCTGCTGGAGGATGCTTGGTGAGTTAGTGCAGTGCATCTTCCAGATGGTACACGTTATGGTAGTCATGACAGGACTGAATTTTGAAGACAGTGGATGAGGTTCCAATCAAGCAGGATTCTATGTCCTGGATATATGAAGTTTTTTTGAGAATTGTTGGAGTTGCACTCGACACAATCGGAGAGCATTTCATCATATTCCTGATTTGTGCCCTGTGGATCGCAGACAGGCATTGGAAAGGCACAAGAAGAGTCACTCACTACAGAAATCCTAGCCTCCAATATGCTCTTGTAGCCACAGTATTTCTATGGTTAGTTGAATTACTGGTCAATTATAGCCCCCAGGAGGTCGATAGTGGGGGATTCAACAATGGAATGCCATTGAACATCAAGGATTGATGGTCAGATTTTCTCGTTGACAATGATCATTGCCTGACACTTGTGGCTAGCCTGGATGTTGTCTACATCTTGCTGCATATGGATGTGGATTAATTCACTATCCGAGGAATTTCAAATGGTACTGGACATTGAGCAAAAAAAAAAAAAAAAAAATCAGTGAATCCCCATTTTTGACCACATGATGGAGGGAAGTTAATTAATGAAGCAGTTAAAAGATGGTTGGGCCTGGGAGATGGAATCACTAACATATTGCAAATAATCAATTGGAAAACATGGGCGATTTACTGGTGGTGGTTAATGAAAAAACATTCAAATGTATGCAAGAACACCTCTGGATATAGCAAAAGATAAAAAAAGTAAACACTAACACAAGGGAGGGAAAGGAGTTGCAAAGTTTGCTCCAGATAGCAGTTAATAACCAAGAAAGGCGCACTTTCAGAACGCAGATGTGTCACTAATACCATGCAGTAAAACAGTAACCTAGTTGAGACGAATTGCAGAAGCAGATCATATCCAACAATAACAGAGTAATTGCTAGGTGGGAGGATAGGATGAAAATTGTTACAAGGGCAGACAGAATGCTGACCACAGCATCCAGGAGCACTATCAGATAAATGCGCACGCATCGTTAGGCTGTTCATAAAATCTAGCTCATTGCATATTATTAAATCTAAATGTTAATTATAGAAAATATTTACTAAAATTTCATGTGAAGATAATGGGTCCAACCATTGGTCAAAGTGAGGGACAAGCCTGCCTCTACTTCGTTATAACAATTAGTTGCCTGAAGTCATGGCTTCTACATCATCGAGACAGCAATTTCCTGCCTCCAAAGTTACCAGCAAGTCAGTGGGGTTAACAACTCTTCAGACCCAGAAGGGCCATAGAGAAATGGGGAAAAGGGTCAGAACACTTCAGACGCCTAATGCTCTCCCAAACTCAAAATGTTGGAAATATTCCAATCAGCAGAACCCGTGGAGAAACAAAACTAATATTTCAAGCCGATGATGCTGTCATCTGAAGCTTGATTGTTTTTCACTCCACAGGTGCTGAAAGTGTATTTTCAGCATTTAATGCTTTTAATTTACATTTCTCAGCACCTGCAATTCTTTCATATTTTGATGATCTTCTAGAATTCTCTATTCAGGAACTATTCCTTTAGATTGGAAATCTAGGATGTAACTCCACTGTTTAAGAGAAGGTGCGAGGAGGAAACCAACCAGGTTAGCCTAACAAATTGTCAGGAAATTACTTGCACCACCTTGAAAATTCAGCTGATCAGAGTGAGGCAAAGTCATGGATTTGTAAAGGAGTAGCTCATACATGGTGACCCTAACTGATTTTGAAAGAGATTATTAAAGTAATGGATAGGGAAATGTTTCTGGATGTTATTTATATGGATTTTAAGGCATTTGATAAAGGCTGCCATTAAGAGATTGTTTTAATTATAATTGAAGTTCAAGGAATTAAAGGTAAATTAAAAGATGAACAAAAGGAGACACATACAGTGGGACAATGGGCAAGATTTAACTAGTGGTGCCCTGCAAAAACATGCTGAGGCCTAGAAAGCAAGACAATTGAAGTTTACTGGTACTACAAAGACAGGTATCATGGTAAGTAGTGCAGATGTAAGCATAAACTATTAATGTCACTTTTTAATTTAAAATTAAACAGACAGAATTGTGACAGATAAGATTTTCTTGTAAACTAGTGAGAACCTACTTCAGATAAAAAAAAAATGATGATTACCTTCTAAGTAGTGAAAGGTTAGTAGCACAGCAGTCTAGAGACCTGCACATAGGTCATTAAAAATGTCATGCACAGGCCCAAAAATAACCTCAAAGAGAAATGAAATGTCAACCTTTATTTCGGAGGACTGGAATAAAAAGTGTCACAGGTCAGGAGGCTATACAAAGTTCTGATTAGATTACAGAGTATTGTTAGACAGTTCTAGGCACCATACCCTCAGAAGAATGTTAGAGTGCAGCCAGCTCAGCACAAAGACACCTGGAATCTAAGGGCGGAATTACAAATTACAAAAACTGACTAGGATTGCATCTGTTGCAATTTCAAAGATTAAAAAGGTGACGTGATTGAACTTTGGACAATATAAAAGTGAAAGGATATAGCAGGTATGAGAAACAACTTTGATGGTCAGTGGAGGGATGATCTCTCCCTCTCTCAATGTGGAATATGGCTTTACATCACAGCCAAGCCTCTCAGGAATGAAGCTAGAAAAATCTTTTAAGCATAAGGTGATTGAAATCTGGAACTCCATTCCATAGTGAGGGCAATGCTGGGTCAGTTGTTAAATTTAAAATCCTGAGAATGACAGTTGTTACAAAGGATATTAAAGGGATATGGAAATAAAGGATATGGAAAAGAAGGTATACAGCATTAGGTCAAAGATTAGCCATAACCTAATTAAGTGACAAAACAGGCTTATGGGTTTAAAAGGTTTCTATCGAAACTTTCCTGAAGGTCACATGCTCTCAATCCTGGTAACATCTATATACATCATCTTGAACATCAATATCCTTGCTGTACCGAAGAGCACAGAGCATGCAAATATGCAAGAATTTGTTTTTAAAAATTCCAACACAGTGGTAGAAGAACTGCAGCTCATCTTACATACAATTACAAATAAGTCAAACATCCACAATGCTTGAAATAGCTTTGAAGCTGATCAGCAGAGGGTTTTAGATTTTGTTTAAAAAGCATGAACTGAATGTAGCATCTCCAGTGCTGTAACTGCCATAGAGAATCTTATTTAGTTACTGTGCTCTAGCTGAACTACTGCATTGCCCTTTTTGATCACACCACAAAATAGTATCGAGATGCCAGCAAGACTAGCCTAACAAGAGTGGCACTTGGTCTCAAACAAAGTTGACTTTCAAAATGAGGAAGAAAGCACAAAGCTAATACACAAGACAGGGAAGAGAGAGTTAAAAAATACAATTAGTTGACAAACTAAACAACCCCCTTTTCTAAAAAGCAAAATGAAAAAATGTTGGCATGCTTGCTAACAGCACTCGTGATAAACGAGAATGTCCAATACTGGACGACAATTTTCCTTCTTTGATATTTGCCCTGTCACTATGGCCACTTGCCTCCATGTATTCTTTTTCAGCAGTAAGAGAAGGCGACTTCCAAGGTTAGTGCCTCTCCTTCCTTAGCCTAAAGCAAGCATATGTGCTGTAGGGTAAAGACAGAAAGTATCAGGTTACACTAAATTGAGGCATATTACTTTGCTGGTTTATGTCCAATAGCCTTGCTGTTAATTGAGATAATTGGGATTTCAAAGTTGAGACACTAACATAAGCAAAAGTGAAAAGCAGCAGCAATCAACTATCAAACACTCAAGGCGTGCACATCATCAAATGACACTGGGCTAATATTTTAAACTAAACAATGTACAGTATACTTACCAGTTTGAGAGCCATACATCTGTCCAGGTACAAATTCTGGGCAGTTAATTAAACGGGAAAAGTCAGTTCTTGGAATGTCAGAAACAGGTGGGCCTGGAATAGGCCATTTTTCAGGACTCTCTTTTTTCCTCATTTTCTGGTCCACAATTTGCACCTCTGTACTCCCTTTTAAAGCCTGATTTTGAAAACACAGCAAGAGCAGACGAAAAAGATTTGAATGACCAATTCTAAAATGAATTTCAGTTTTAAGTTTGCCCTCAAATAGATTGAATAGTCAAAAAGATCAAAATGAGTGAAGACACCACAGCCAACACACCACAATTACAAAAGTTCAGAACAATGTACCAGGCAAGTTAACATGTGGCAAAGTCCTGGAGATATTCGAAATACAATTAGAAAATGAGTTAAATGATCCATAACAAGAGGTCTCCATGTACATTCTCTTATCTATGGCTTTTGTCATTTGTCCATATGAGCAGATTTTAATGCTACGCTATTTTCAAGAACACTCGTCCAATACACAGCACCATACAACATCCAAGCTATGATTTTTTTGAGGGGTGGGTGCGTGCAGTGGATATCATTTACTTGGCTTTTGATAAGAGATTAGCACATAAAATTAAAACAGGGGTTGCATTTTGACTTGGATAGAGAACTGGATGGCAGTCAGCAAACTGTCAGAACAAAGAGGCTTTTTCCTATTCCACTGGCAGCCAGTGTCTAGTGAGGTACGGTAGGGATCAGTGCTAGGAATTTAGCTATTCATACTATAGATATTACTTCGATTTAGTTCCCTCATCTAAATCGTATCTAAGTTTGCACACGACAAAGCTGGGAGGTAGGGTGAACAAATGTGTCAGAGATGAATAAATGTGAGGTTATTCACGTTGGTTGCAAAAACAAAGTCAGATTATCTGACTAGAGGTAAATTGGGAAATGGGGAGGTAGAATGAGACTTCGGTGCCATACAACAGTCACCAAATGTAAACACGTAGATGTAGCAGGTAATGAATAAGGCAAATAGTATGTTGGCCTTCATAGCAGGAGGGTTTGAATATAGGAGCAATTATGGTGAGACCACAGCTAAGAGTACTGTGTGCTGTTTTGGTTTCCTTAGCGGAGGATTGATTTTCTGGCTATGGAGAAAGCGCAACAAAGATTTAACAGACTGATTCTCTACTGACAGTAATTGTATTTATTTTCTCTCCTTTTTCCACTTGATTTAGTGACTGGAGTAATGATAATGTCCTCAACCATGAAGACTGACGCAAACTAGTTATTCAACTCTACGGCCATTTCCTGGTTCTCCATTATTATTTCCCCATCCTTGATCACTAAGGGGCCAACGTGCGCTTTGACCTTTCCCTCCCTTCTTCTTTAAAGAAGGTCATGCTGTCTGTCTTGATTTAACTGGAATGTTTACCTGAAATGCTTATCTTCTTGCTTTTGATTATTTGTTTGGTCATCTTTTGTTGGTTTTAAAACTTTCCCAATCCTCTAGCTCCCCACTAATTCTTGGCACATTGAAAGAAAAGCATGCAATTGCCTTTTGTCCTCAACTTCCCTGGTTAACCATGGTTGGCTTATCCCCTTCCCCAAATCACTTTTCCTTACTCGAAAGTGTCTTTGCTGTGAGACATGAAATTTTTTTTAAAGCACCCTCCAAATGCCTGCCAATGTAATTTTGTGAACAGAACAAAGTTTATTGCACACAAAAAAAGGGGGGGGGGGGGGTGGTGGGGGGGGGGGGGGAAAGGAAGAGAAAACGAGTATTCTGCTCTATGCAACTAATTGAGGCAAATAGCCAAAGTAAACATTTTTTAGCTTTTCACACTTACAAACTTTATGGATTCTTCAACATCAGTAAAACAGTCACACTTTTTCTACTTTAAAACTTGCTTTTAAAATAGCACACCAGCATCTTTAGTTAATATCTCTTTCAAAGACATTGATAGCACAGTTTTGTTTTCAAACAACACAAATTCTTAAAACTCTTTTCTTACACAGCTTTCTTCACTCGTTCTTTCTCTTACTGAGATTAAACCACTGAGGATTTCCTTTCAATCCAAACTAAATTTAGAGATTATTAGTCTTGCAACAGCTTTTCTGCCACTGACAGGTTTTCTCTAACAGAAGTTGACACTGCCCACTTACTGACATCGACTTGTTTCGGTCTCCCTGTGACACAGGACACCTCGTTGCTTGGCATCAAACTTTTTTTTTTTTTTTAAATCTTTTCCACTTTTTATTTTCTGAAACACTGATTTTTTCCCTTGAAGGCTCTGTTAAAAACGTCTCACTTCAAACACAAACAAATATTCAAACAAACAAGTTACGCATAACTCGATTTATGTTCACACCCAAGCTTCCATACAATAATAATCCATTAATTACTTATGCCACCTTCTGCAGGCTGAAAATGGCTAAGATTAGATCTTTTAAATAAAATGACAGACAGTACAATTCATTGAGTTGGCTTTGTAAAACAAAGTGCTTACTGTTCTTTGGTGTGCACGTGGAATGGTGTCACTTTTCCTATTGAAATCTATTCTTTAAACTGATCCTCTCAACAATTTAGTGGTCACCTTTGTAAGTTTATAAAGGATCAACCAGTCAGGAATGCTCAACAGTCGATCACACTCACTTTAGCCAATCTGGAACCACTGGCATAGTGAATTTTGTTCAACCTCATTTGTTGTGCTCTGAATTTTCTTCAGACAGATTTTCCAGTCAGTCACATTAAAGATAAATTTATTCTGAAAACTCAACAAAGTTGTCAGAACACCATACTGAGAGGCAAGGTTAAATCTAAAAGAAATGGGTAGGTCACTGTCAGTAGTAGTGTGCGCAGTCTTGGGGGGTCTCATCACAATGCTAAATAAAGTCAAATTTGCCAGGATGAAAATTTAAATGAGGTAAATCTTGAGGCACATCAATTCATTAGGCTATTCAAATTCCAAACATATTGATAGGATGAAAAGAAACCAATTACTCCCTCTAGCTTGAATGCCATCAATTTAAAATTTTAGTATGTGAAGGAAGGAAAACAAGACAAGACAAGACAGACAAATTTGTTAAGACAGTTGTTAGAACATGGCTAGAATTGCAGGAAGTATGAGGGGCAAAAGTTATTTCTTTTGAAGAAATATTTGAAGCACAAGTAGGCATGTAGGAGGAAACAAGGGAGCAGAATGACAGCTTTAAGTAAGAAATGGTATAGACAAAAACATTGGATGGTTTTCTTCTGTACCAGAATGTTTTATTGCTGCAAGAAAGAAATCCATTTAAAATTATTTGTACCTGAATGACAATAATTTTGTATTATGAACTGGAACATTATAAGAAAGTTTTGGAAAAATATCTTCACTATTAAAAGTCATGCATGCACATTGAAACTTACAGGACCACTGCTTAGCAGGACTGAATTATTGGACTTCCCATCCTTCCAGTGCCTACCTTATCCCCCTTTCAGTGCATTACTTTTAAACATATTTGCAACTTTTGACAAGTCTAAATCAAGTTTCAGAATTCTAAGTATCGAATAACATGAGTTAAGTATTGCATGCCAGAAAAAGATTATTTATACTTGACTAGTTTAGAACAAGATGGGCTGGAATTAAAGCCAGCATACTTTAAACAGAAAGCATTGACAAAGTGGAGGCTTTCTCCATGTAGCACGCTCAGTGTCTAACAATTGCTGCTCCTCACACATCTCTAGCAGTCTTTCCACTATGTAGAAGAGGCAAGCATCAAAAAACGACTTGACCGGAACAGGAAATAACACCTTTTGCAGAGTTAAGTACCACACTGACAATCTGAGCTAACTGGCCCTAATAAAATGGCAATTACTAAGCACATCAAACTTTGTCAAACTTCTGAAAATACATTTCAAAATCCATCAAATTAACTTTCAGAATTATACCACTAAGTTTCAAAGAAAAACAGCAAATAAAATTATTTTCTCATGTAAACTGGCATGAGTCATTACCACTACTCAAGAGGGGAAAAGAGCTGGAATATGAAATTTGGAACAAACCTTATTTTCAGCAAAATAAAGGCAAATTACAAGCACAAAATGGCTACGAATTAAATTCACACAATATCCGCCTTGGGACTTACTCCAGTAGTGAAGAGAATAGCATTTCATATCTGCATGTGGCAGTCAGATACATTGTCATGTTTAACATATTGGTTAATAAACAAGAAAGCTACATACATGCCAGTTGGACAATTTTGAGACACATTCAAGCTTCAAGCAGTTTAAAATACAAATCAATTCCTTTTAGTTGCAACACATCAATATTTCACGCATATTAAAAACACTGCATTTTGCTAATAGCAGTGTTCAAAATTTGGGAAATTCAACCCTACAAAATGCTATAATTTTGTACCATTATGTACTTTAGTTCAAAATTCATTGCCTTCATGACCATCAGTTGACACCCTCCCCTCTGAGCCTTCCAATAGATTTTGAGTAATGATTTAAGTTACGACTTAACATGTAGTAATTCAGGAAGTTGATGCATTAGCTAAATGCAGTCTTGGATGAAGTTAGATCATGCCTACCCTTCAGTTAATAAGATTCCAACAGGATTCAAACAGCAAGTTCTCCTGGTGTCCCATCCATTATTTCTATGCTCCCTCCACACCCCATCCATTCAAATTAACACCAAGATTGATCAATCTCATTGATGGTTGAAGCACATTGTTTTAAATGAAATATAGTAAACATTTGACAGCAAAATTATATGCTTCATAGAAAATAAGATATTTCAATAAATTAACTTTAATTTAATAAATCATACTTTCTCAGTCTGAAAGTAACTCCCTTCAAAAGCATGCACGTTTTCGTTTACACAAAAATTTGCAATTATCACCTTTAACATTGCGATGTATTCTAAGGCACTTCACAATTGCATTATCAATTACATAATTTGGAGACTCGCAAGAGGGCAGTATTAGCTCGGGAATGTTGGAGGGCCGGAGGAGGTTACAAAGATGGGGATGCACAGGGTCATGGAGGGTCTTGAAAGCAAGGTTAAGAATTTTAAAATTAAGGTGGTGTTCTCAAACTTGATTCAACATAGGTCAGGGAGCACGAGGTGATGGGTAGCAGGCAGAAAACAAACTTCAACCCATTTTCTACATTTTACATTTCAGAAACAGAAAGGCATTACCTCCAAAATGAGATTTACATCTGTAGTTAGAGCTTGTACCCGGTGGAAACTGGCTATCAGGGAAATGGGTAGGAAACCTTGTTCATCCATCTTCCTCCGTAGGAAAAAATCTCTTTCCAGGTTTTCTGTACTGAAGTAGTATTCACTAAAAACAAAACACCTACATTAAAATATTTTCCCAACTAGGTTGTCATTAAGAAAGCATTGCAATAATATCACAAGAAATGTCACATACATTTGTCGTTTAATGTACTCCTTCAGCAAGGTTTCATCCACTGTGTACATCTGGGCTCCACTTCCATCATCATAATAGTACATCATGTTAGTGTTGTATTCTGGTATATATTGGTCAGAGGTATCATACGATTGCTTATACCCATACGGATAGTCGTAATTCACTGAGGAGAAAGTAACCTAAATCAGTTGTGTTATAAAAGTTACATTCACATTTGAATGTTAATCATACATAGCTTCAAATCTTATGCTTCTGTGCATGTACAGTCACTTCACAGGACTATAAATTTTTGCACACCATGCATTACTTAAATATGCTACTTAAAGCTTATTTTCAGTATCTCAGCCCAGGATAATTGCAACTCCTATGATGGAAACCTCAAATTCCTTCATTTAAAACAGAATTTTCTCAAATCACCTATAAACATGATGTGATATCAAAATTAATTACTTCTGGAATTCCTCAAAACAATAATGTTAGCCAACGCTAGACCTTAATTGGATTGATTAAGTCTCCATTTTTACCCTATGAAAACAATGAATGAAAATCACATGAATCTTGGAAAATTCTTTGTAATTTTATGAAATAAAAATGTCCTTTTCACACAAAAACTAGTATATTCAGCCATGAATCATTCATCATTCCTGATGAACACAGGCTGGTAATGTGCTCCTGAGCCAAAAAGACAACCACTTAAATTCTTAACAGAGCTTATAGCTATGTTATGCAGTTTATGGAATTCAAATAGGTCAAGCAGCAGACCCCCAGAAATCCAATTACCTGTTTAGTTTTAGCAAAGTGGCTGTGCGTCCATGAGAGCAAGCAATGTCACAATTAAGGTAAACTTTGATATGTTCTATAAGGGAGTCAGCCAACCATGCTCACAGATATATATGAGCGTGAATAATTGCTACTACTTAAAAGTAGCAGTCAAGTGGCATGTGCAGTCCTTGACCCTGACATGATCCAATATTAAGTCAGGGCATTACTACACAGAGTTTTCTTAAACATTAGTCATTGGTCAACAGGTTGTTTGGGCTGGAGCAATTCAGCTATTGAGAGAGACTACATAGGCTAGAGATCTTTTCCTTCGAGAAGAGAAGGCGCTGAGGTGGGGATCTGATTGAGTTGTACAATGTTCTGAGGGGTGCTGACGGGGTAGGTGGGTCAAACCTCAAGACAACACAGTGGCTCAATGGTTAGCACTGCTGCCTCACAGATAGTCACCCAAGGCCAGAACAGAATTTGGTTCCTTGGTACTAGGTAGAGTTTGCATGTTCTCCCAGTGTGGATTTCCGCTGGTGCTCTGGTTTCCTCCCATGGTCCAAAGATGTGGAGATTAGGTGGGTCGGCCACAGTAAATGCAAGGTTACGGGGATAGGGCGGGAGGCTGGGTCTGGGTGGGATGCCCTTCGGAGGTCGGTGCAGTCTCGATGGACCAAATGGCATCTTTCTGCACTGTAGGGATTCTTTGATTGTAGATCTGCAGGCTGTTTTATAGAGACCCTCCCTCCATGCTACATCTATTGATGTTTGTTTGAAATGCTGTGTTGTGCGCGCATGGGTGAGTAAGCTATTGTCAGTTCAGCAATCCCTGATGTAGTGCAGCAGGGTTTCCAAATATTGGAGACATTCCTGGAGGTTTGATCAAATGATATTGACTACATTGCCAGTGATAGAAACCCTTCTATGACATTCAGTCTCAGAAACAGAATGGTTTATCCACTGCTGTGCAAGTTGGGTGGAGGTATTCATTACATAAAACCCACTTTCAACCACTGCAGTTGCCTGGTGTTTAATGTTCTAGGTTGTAAAGAGAGGCACGGTTGATGGAATTGATACATCAATTCTATTCACATACACTTACCACGTGAGTTTCCCCTGCCACGCCCTCGACCTCGACCTCGACCTCTGCCTCTGCCTCTGAAACTGCCTCGTACACCACCACCTTCACTTCTAACACTGCCAACTTCATCAGCATCATCCCTTCTGTCTCTATCGCGCTTGTCATCTCGGCGCCAACCTTCACAAAAGCAAGTTTGTATTATTCAAGTGCAGTTTCTAAGGACACCGTTGTAAAATTTCTGGTCATTTTAAAGTCATTGATGATGACAGGAAACAACTTAAATCATACATCACAACTCAAAGTGTCAATGCTTTCTGTCACTTGATTTTCAGGAGTCATTAGATGGAATTTTCTGCTTTTAGAAATTTTCAGCTTTTAGAAATTTTCAGGTATTTGAACTAGCTCTTGCTTGCTAACCTGATGGTGGGTTTCACCTGTGCTCAACTTCCAATTAAAAAGGAAGGCAGGACTCTCAGACAGGAAGATGAGTAGGTGGCACCAAAGGCTTGGTGGGCCAACAAACCCACTGGCAGGATTGAATACTGCTGAGGCATGTAAGGGAGGGAGGGTAACTGTGTCTCAAAATCCTTGTAGAATCATCAGTGGAGGAGAAAGCCTTTTGGAGAAGTTTGTAGGTCTAACTGGGAGTATTTTTTTAAAAATTGATCTTTTCATGAACAACTGAGAGAAGGCCTCAATGCCTCTTCCACCTGCCACAGGAAAGTTGTTGTCATCCTCTCAACTCAAAGGTGGCCCATATAAAGCTGAAAAATCGTAACGGCTTCATCAAGTTATCTCCACATAGTCACTTAATTGCCGCCAGGCAGGTTGATGGTTTCAGTTTGATGTTGGCTCCATTAACATCACTTAGAGATAGAAATGTTTTGGGGAGCTGACCTAGTATTGTCACACTTGCTCTGGTGACGTCAAGCACATTTTCAGGCCTCAGTACTTTTACGTGGGTCATGTGTTTCAAATGAAAGCCATTTTACAGACATTAGTGTAATTTCCATTGGAAATGCTAAAGTAGTAAAAGACTCACACTTTGATAACCTGAACCATGAACGCGCACAAACAGCTCCCAATGTCATGCTTTATAATTTTACTCAATAAATCACTTGGCACGCTGTCTGGGGAAAATAAAATTTGTATAGATGCTCAGTCGATTTTCTGCAGACCAGTCAGTAAGGTACAAGTAAAGTCACCATAGTCCTGGAGGACTATAGGTCGACTCTCTCAGAGACAGGTAACTGGTGGTGATTTAACTGAAGGGCCACTACGCCTCCGGCGAGGGAAGAGGTTGAGAAGGAGAGTCCTTCATGATAATCTCAGCTGGTGTGGAAATTGAACCCACACACTTGGCATCACACTGCCTTGTAAACTAACTGACTCCCTAGACCACTCAGTATCAATCAACTGAATGTTGGATAACTTCCATTGGCTTCTCACGATTCTTGGTCAGCTGTTCCTCAGAATTTTTTTGAACACTCATCTTGTGTGCTCCAGTAAGTTTAGCAAATGTATTTTGACCATTTTCAGGTTCAGTCCATGCTCTGAAGATAATGCGAATTTGACAAAGTTTACCTGTGCTTTACTGACATTGCTGATACCCAAGAGACAAGGAAAGCATGAGTTTGCACTGGAGTCTCTTAGATACTGCAACAATCAGCTATTTCTATGCAAAATCCTGGCATGCTTAAAAAAAAAAAAATCATACACTTATCAAAAAGCGTGTGTTCGGCACTTACTTCTTGAATAATCATTTCTTTTGTTGTTTTGCATCGATCGTGTTGTATCTGCCTGAGATCTTGAACTGTTACGTGAGCTAGGCCTTTCTTGTCCATCTTGTTTCACTTCATCTAGTTGTAAAGGAACCCATTTGTGCTTGTTCGCTAAAATATTTAAAAAACAAAAAAGGTGATTGTGTGCACTTACATAACAATAGCCTTTGAAATAATTTTACAGGAATCAAATGAAACAGTCCTAAAGAATTGCCTTTTGAATTGAAAATGCAAACTGAAAGTATTTACCCCCTAACGCAACGCTACACTCAAAAACAATGAATGGAGATAATAAAACTAAGCAGATGAATGATTCAACTTGCAAAAGGAGTTTTAAAAATGATTTTTAAGCTAACAAAATACCAGTAAAGTTCAAACATTTAATAACGAACGACTAAAAAAAATCTCAGATTAACAGAGCACTGTATAGCTCTGAGCAATGAAAGTCACAGTTACTGCCAGAATTGCTGAGCTTTTCCAGCAATTCCTGTTTTTGCTAAACTACACTAATGTCAGTTAGCTACACTTGGTCCATATTAATTGTATGTTAACATTCTACACCATAACGTAAGGTATCTGCGTTGAGGAAGGGTCACCGGACCTGAAACGTTAACTCTGATTTTTTTCTTCACAGATGCTGCCAGACCTGCTGAGCTTTTTCAGCAACTTTGTTTTTGTGTATTATTTCAATGCAGTCTGAGACTTTCACTCAAACATGAAAATTCTATTTCAGGAGGATCTCTCAGTTCAAGACACAAGACAGACTAACCACAGGGCTAATCTGCAGTGAGAAACAAAAAGACCTTATTTATGGAAAGCACAAATGTCTACCAATGTTTTTTAAAAAGATTTCTATTTTAAATCGAGCTCCACAGCAAGGCCTTCAGGCAGTAATAACCGGAAGAAGTTAGAGGTTCTACATTTCCTAGATTCTAAGCCCAACAGTTGACTGACAGCAGCAGAAGGGGTTTCTAATCCTTAAATTGCTTGTATGGCACATAAAATATTCAAAATTGTTGTTAAGAAAATGTGAAAACAATTGGGTACATTTATATATATTTAGCTGGTCTACTTCTCCTATTTCAAATATTTATAGGCTCATTTTCAAAACCTTTTAAAAGGGCTCTAGGGAAAGAGCAAGGGAATAGGACTAATTGAAAAATCACTTTCCAAAAGTTAGAACAGGTAGGAAGTACCTGTGCCAAGATTCCATGTCAAGTCTGATGAATTTTTCAATGGCACAATTGGCCAAACAGCCTTCGGTATTGCAAAATTCCATGAGATGATTCTGATATCAACTCAGAAGAAGAAAATTAAGAGTAATCCTCCAGTGACTAAGATCCAACTCTCCTCTTCCTATTATACACATGCTGTCCTTCCTTCAGGTAGGAGAGTGTTGAAAAAAAAATTAATAATCAAGTGTCAAACTGACATAGCAAGTTGCATTCCACAGGTAGATGATGTGTGACCCTGGAATTTACTGCCTATTTAAGACTTTAAAGGGCAACACCATGAAGCTATCATTTGATAGCCAGTGTTTTGGCGACGCTAGCAGTCAAGCAACCCGAGACGAACAGTTGACTACCTGCAGCATAAGGAGTTTCCTCAAGATTGCCTGCAATCGATACTAAGCACGGAACGACAAATAACACTGGATAAAATTTTGAATATACTAAGAGAATGCAAAAATAACTGTTTTCTTTCTTGACAGGATATTGTGAACTCAAATCCCAGAGAACAGCAAGCAGAGAAATAGGCAGGAAATTCCAGGGTCACGTATCTTCCTTCTACCTGTGAAGCACAACTTGGTATGTCAGTTTGACACTTAACTATTAATTTTTGTTTCAACACTCTTACCTGAAGGAAGGACAGTGTGTGTAACAGGAAGAGAAGAGTTGGATCTTAGTCACCAGAGGGCTACTCTTGATTTCCTTTTCTTCTTGAGTTGATATCAGAACAATATTCCACATAGTAAAGAAATCACGCCTTCAAAATGGCCACTTGGATACAAGATTTGCTCGAAGGTAGGAGACAGTTGGAAGTGGTTGTGGTGGAAGGTTGCTTTTTGGACTGGAGGCCTGTGACCAGCAGTGTGTCACAAGCATCAGTGCTGGGTTTACTGCTTTTTGTCATTTATAGAAAATGATTTGATGTGAATATCGGAAGAATGGTTAATAAGTTTGCAAATGACACCAAAACTGGTGCTGTAGCGGACAGTGATGGTTACCTTAGAGTACAACAGGACCTTGATCAGAAGAGCAAATAGGCCTACAAGTGGCAGATGAGGTTTAGTTTAAGTAAAAAGGGGGTGCTGTATTTTGGTCAGGCAAATCAGGGCAGGATTTATACACTTGATGGTAAGGTCCTGGGGAGTGTCGCTGAACAAAGAGTGCAGGTTCATAGTTCCTTGAAACTGGAGTCACAGGTAGACAGGATAGTGAAGGTGGTGTTTGGTATGCTTGCCTTTATTGGTCAATGCATTGAGTATAGAAGTTGGGGTGTCATGTTGCAGACAAACAGGACATAGTATTCCAAAAGTGGCCAAACCAATGTTCAATTCTGGTCTTCCTGCTATAGGAAAGATGTTGTGATACTTGAAAAGGTTCAGAAAAGACTTACAAGGATGTTGCCAGGGTTGGAGGGTTTGACTGCTAGGGAGAGGCTGAATAGGTTGGGACTATTTTCCCTGGAGCAGAAGTTGAGGGGTGACTTACAGAAGTTCATGAGGGGCATAGATAGGGTGAATAATCAAGGTCTTTTTCCCAGGGTGAGGGGTCCAAAACTAGAGGGCATGGGTTTACGGTGAGAGGGGGAAGATTTAAAAGGGATCCAAGGGATAACTTTTCACGCAGAGGGTGGTGCTTGTATGGAATGAGCTGCCAGAGTGGTGGAAGCAGGTACGATTACCACATACCCAGCTGGATTGCTTTTAAATATGAATAGGAAGGGTTTAGAGGGATATGGGCCAAATGCTGGCAAATGGTACTAGATTAAATTTAGACTATCTGGTCAAAGACGAGTTGGACCGAAGGGTCTGTTTCCGTGTCGAGTATCTCTATGCCTCTATAGAGCCTTCAAATCCATGTACTGAGAATGCACCTCCAAAAGGTTTTAAAAAAATATTGTTGAAATGAGTTATAAAATTTAATTTTAGAATGTACTGAAATTCTCAAAGTGTTGGGAGATGCTTAAGGCCCATTCAAGAGAATTAACCCTGTAATCTAGGACAAGGCTTCTGTGCAACACTGAAGTCATGCTACAAAGTTGAAACTTACATCTGGATGAAATAGTAAATCTTCACCTAACTTCTGAAATGGATACAAAAGATATTATGGTACAATCTCAGAAGTTCTACAGGTATCTTGGACAACATTAACCCTTATATCAAAATCATTAGACAAAGATTGCCTCATTACTTACCTCACTGTTGCTTACAGGATCCTATCGTACACAAACTTCATGCTATGTTGCCCTATCTTAAAATAATAATTCTCCCTCAAAATACACCCCTGGTTATGACATACTTTCGAGCGAACCAGAGGTGACAAATAAAGCTATGTATGTGCAGATTCTATATCACTAACAATCATTGGAGAGCAATTTATTGTTAGTTTGTGAATTTTTCAGTCTGCATTTCAAAACACCATTGCTTTCCAAGTGCTGTTGTACATACAGGATTTGTATGTTTGTTAAGTATGTAAACTATGAAGCAGTACAATATAGTTTCCATTCTGCTTTCATTTAAAATTGGAGGAAACCAGTTTTTACAAAAAGGAACAGAATTATGCAAATACATAAGCCATTAACATATGTTCTGACAAATCAAAGCTACCAAGAGTAATTGTGCCAATTTATAGTTACATCTGATAAGCACACATGCCAGGAAATAAGAGTTGGTTATAAGAAATCCAGTCAACAACCATTTTAAAGAGGAAAAAATGCACCAAGATCTGGACAATATCCAGGCTTGGGCTGACGTGTCAAGTAACATTCATGCTACACATATGCCAGGCAATGACCATTTCCAATAAGGGACAGACAGACCAGACAATCTCATTATTACCACTTGACATTCAGTGGTATTACCTTCACTAAATCCCCCACAATCAACATCCTTGAGGTTACCATTGATGAGAAACTCAAACTGACCCAACACAGTGGCTACAAGAGCAAGTCAAAGGCTAGGGATTCTGCAGCAAGTAGCTCACCTCCTGACTCCCCAAAACCTGCCCTCTATCCACAAGGCACAAGACAGACATGTGATGGAATACTCTCTTCCACTTGCCTGGATAGCTGCAGCTCTAGCAACACTCAAGAAGCTTGATACCACGCAGGACAAAGCAATCCAATTGCTTGGCACCACATCCACAAGCATCCAGTCCCCCTACCACTGATGCTCAGTAGCATGTACTATCTACAAGATGCACTTCAGAAATCCAATGATCTTTAGACGACACTTTCCAAACTCATGACTACTTCCATCTAGAAGGACAAGGGCAGCAGATACATGGGAGCACCACCACCTTCAAATCATCCACCATTGACTCTGAACTATACCACTGCTCCTTCAGTGTTGTTGGATCAAAATCGTGGCTTTGCCTCCCTCTCAGAATTGTGGGTCTACCTACAGCACATGGACTGCAGCAGTTCAAGTAGGCAGCTCGCCACCACCTTCGAAGTCAACTTAGGACAGGTAATAAAGGCAGGCTAGCCAGCAACACCCACATTCCACAACTGGATTAAAAAATGTAGAAAACATGTCCACGACTTGGGTCCCATATGGACAAAATTATGAGTTTATAGTTTAAAATTGTGACATTAAGATTTGTCTGATGTATATAGGGAAATGAATCAAAAGCCTGGTATCTGAGTGCACACCATAACGTAGAAACTGCCTTTAGTTTGCCCATATTCAATGGTAAACTTTTTTTTTTTAAAAAACAGGGGTTCACATTGTGGGAGTATGAGAAAATCTAATCGAGCCAAGCTAAAATCATACCAATGAGTCAAAAATATAGTAACATGCTTTTTAATTTCAAATTCTGCTTTTACATTCTTAAAAAGGAAGACAGCAGTGTACGTGTGGTACAAATGCTGATTAATTCCAACAGGCAGTGCTATAGTTGAATTAGAACTCAAAAATTGAGCATTTAAAATACGCAGATGAAGAAATTGGAAGTAAATATCCAAAACAAATTTTTAGAATGCTGAAAACAGGCCATGAAGTTTCTGTGCAAATCATACCTTTCTTCCCTTTTTGTGAAGATCCCTGGGATTCATCTTCGATTGTTGACTTTTCTTCTTCGTTTTTCTGCACTTCTCTGTTTTCTTTACTTTCACTGTTGTCTTTCTTTTCAGATTTGTCTTTCTTCTTATTTTTATTCAGAGGCTTTTTGTTTGGTTGATTCATGATGTTATGGTGCTATGAAAATGTGGAGACAGTATTAACTCGTAGAATTAATACTCAATTTGACATTTCAACGCAGCACAACCCTTTTCAATCAATTACCAAAAAATACAGAATTTTCCCCGTTGCAAGTTAAAATCATCTAAAGCAATTATGTGGTATGGGAGGCAATGCGAACAAATTCAATTTTGGGCCAAATTCAGTTACAGAAATTTGAGCATATACAGTTATGCTATGTATAACACTTGTAGCAAATATAAGAAACACTTAAAACATAGCCAGGACACACAATTTAACAGCAGCATTACACCTCAAATGGTGAAAGTTTTAAATTGTAATACACTTTCTAAATGTCTATTACATTGCAAATCAAGACACCTGGAAATAATTTATCCAAGGAAATGTAAATAGTAAAATACCAATGGCTCGAATGCTGTAAAGGAACAATGCTTGTTATTCACTTTGGGGAAAAAAAAAACCAAATTAAAAAAATCTTTGAGCAAGCCATAGACCTCAGAATTTGTCTTTACATCTTTGACAGGAGTTCTAGGGCATCTGCAAACAGCTCAAGAATCACGGAGCCTGATCAGATTAAAAAGTCCTCAGGCAGCAAAGTGATGAGGAAAAATAATCAACATTCAAAATTATTTTATGGATGGAGAAAGCAAATTAAACATTTGGATGTGCACGTGATCAAAGGAGAAACGTATACAGAAACCTCAAACCTTTCATAAAAGTTTAATGCTATTTCAAAAATCTGCAATAATAAATTTACTTCTGACTAAATGAGAACTAATGTTCCTAATTCCTACTCTGTGCTATTGATTTTCCAACTCATTTGCCTTCTTTAAGTCACTTAGAATCGCAGGCTCATACAGTCAGAGTATAGAGTTGTACAGCACAGAAACCAACCCTTCGGTCCAACTCATCCATGCTGTCCAGCTGTGCCAAACTAATCTAGTCCCATTTGCCAGCATGGCCCTCTAAACCCTTCCTATTCATATACCCATCCAGATGCCTTTCTAAATGGTGTAAATTGTACTAGCCTCTACCACTTCTTCTGGCAGCTCGTTCCATACACACACATCCCTTTGCGTGAAAAGCTGCTGTGGGTCCCTTTTAAATATTTCCCCTCTCACCTTAATCCTCTAGTTTTGGACTCCCCCGCCCTGGGGAAAAGACCTTGGCTATTCATTATCTATGCCCCTCATGATTTTATAAACTTCTATAAAGTCGCCCCTCAGCCTCTGATGCTCCAGGGAAAATAGCCCCAACCTATTCAGCCTCTCCCTATAGCTCAAACCCTGGCAACGTCCTTGTAAATCTTTTCTGAACCCTTTCAAATTTCACAACATCCTTCCAATAGCAGGGAGACCAGAACTGCAAGTAGTATTCCAATAGGGGCCTAACCAATGTCCTGTACAGCTGCAACATGACCTCTCAACTCCCACTCAATGCACTGTCCGTAAAGGCAAGCACAGAAATACCACCTTCACTATCCACTCTCTACCTGTGACTCCACTGTCAAGGAATGATGAACCTGCATTCCAACGTCTCTTTGTTTAGCAACGCTCTCCAGGAGCTTATTACTAAGTGTATAAGTCCTGCCCTGATTTTCAGCACCTCATTTATCTAAATTAAACTCCATCTGTCAGCCCATTAGCCCATCTGATCAAGATTCTGTTGAGGTAACCTTCGTTGTCCAATACACCTCCACTTTGGAGTCATCTGCAAAATTACTGACTATATCTTGTACGTTCACATCCAAATTATTTATAAAAATGACAAAATGCAGTGGACCCAGCACCGATCCTTATGGGATATCACTGGTCACAAGCCTCCAGTCTGAAAAGCAACCATCCTCCACCACCCATTGTCTGCTTTGGGCCAGTCCTGTATCCAAATGGCTGGTTCTCCCTGTATCCCATGTGATCTAACCTTACCGAACACCTCACTAAAGTCCATATAGATCGCGTCCACCAGTGATGAAACACAATTTCCCACACACAAAGCCATGTTGACTATCCCTAATCAGTCCTTGCATTTCCAAATACATGTAAATACTGTCTCTCAGGATTCCCTCCAACAAATTGCCCCCCACTGATGTCAGGGTCATGAGTCTATAGTTCCCTGGCTTTTCCTTACTGCCTTTCTTAAATAGTGGCACCTTGTTATCCAACCTCCAGTCTTCCAGCACCTCACCTGTGGCAATCGATGATACAAATATCTTAGATAGGGGCCCAAGCAATCACTTCCCCAGATTCCCACAAAGTTCTAGGATCCACCTGATCAGTCCCAGTATTTATCCACTTTTATTCGTCTCAAGATGTCCAGCACTACCACCTCTGTAATACAGACATTTGTCAAGATTGCACTATCTATTTCCCCAAGTTCTGTATCTTCCATTTCCTTCTCCACAATAAACACTGATGCAAAATACTCATTTAGTATCTCCCCATCTCCCACAGTTGCACACATAGGTGGCCTAGCTGATCTTTATGCGTTCCTATTCTCTCCCTAGTTATCCTTTTTGTCCTTAAAATGGATCTCTTTAGATTTTTCTTAACCGTATTTGCCAAAGCTTTCTCATACCCCTTTTGTGCCCTCCTGATTTCCCTCTTAAGTAAACTTCTATTGCCCTATACTCGAATAGGTATTCGCTTGAGCACTGCTGTCTAAAGCTGACAATTGCTTCCTTTTTTTCCTTGACCAAAATTTCAATTTCTCTGATCATCCAGCATTCCCTACACCTACCAGCCTTGCTGCTCACCTGAAGCGGGATCATAAATCTGAAGAGACTGGAAAAAGCACAGAAATGGTTAAGCAGGAGAAATAATGAGAGTTCATGAAGGAATAAATAGGGAAAGAAATGATGTTCACAGGCAAAAATGTTTGTAATGATTCATGAGAATACCTCCAAACACAAGGGACTTTAGCTACATTGATTAGAGAAGTTGGGATGTTTTTCTTGGAGAAGGCTGAAAGGAGGAGATTTTATAAAGGCAATTAACCCATGTGGAGTCTGAATAGAGAGTACACTGGGAAAAGAACTGTTCCCATTGGTAGTAAGATAGAGAAAAAGAAGGTACAATTGACACACAAGGAAAATTATTTTACATGCATTATATAGTCTGTATCTAAAATGCACTAAGGCCATGGTGGAGACAATTTCAATCAAGGCATATTAACTTGAGAAGGAGAACGTGCAGGGAGAAAAGGAAAAATTAAAAAAAAAAAAATCAGAATCCCTACAGTGTGGAAGCTGGCCATTCGGCCCATCGAGTCCAAACTGACACTCGGAAGAGTATCCCAACCAGACCGATCCCCTCCCCTCCACCCTATCCCTGCATTTCCCTAGCCTGCACATCTTTAGATTGCGGGAGAAAACCAGATCACCCGGAGGAAACCCATGCAGACACGTGAAGAATGTCTGTGTGGAGTTTGCACAGTCACCCAAACTTGGGTCCCTGGCACTGAGGCAGCAGTGCTAACCAGTCAGCCACCAGGCCACCCTATTGAGAAAGGCAGAGAAATAGCATCAGGTGAATGCTCATTCAGAAAGACAGTGCAGACATAATAGGCTGAAGAGCTTCCTTCTGTCCTATAATAATTATGTGATTCTATGAATCAGAAGATACAAGCAAGAAAACTGAAGTTACACTGAAGGCAAAAGGAATAATTAAATCTGGAACGGACTACCTGAAAAGGGTGCCAACAATTTCATGAGAAACGTTGAAAATGGATTTGAATAAAAAAATGTGAAGGGGAAAAACCTGTGCCTTGACTATTAGAGTATCTCTTTTCAATTAAGCTTTTAAATGATTTGACTTAACTCTTATGACTGATTCACTGTCACATTTGTTTTATAAAGCTCCCGTGAAGCACCTTGGGATCTTTTATTATGTAAAAGGCTCTAAATATTTGTTGCATCCCCAATGCAACTTCTCCTTGATACAATTGTGCTATTTGCTGAAATGGATTGAAGATAAAAACTAATTTGCACTCACGCAGATACAGACTGAACTAAAAAAATTGTTTGCTAATAAAGCATTTAGTTTTATTTCAGCTAAAATATAGACAAGTGCATCACATGTTAACATACCTCCTTATTAGCAATTTCTCCCGGAGTAGGCCAGTTTGTGATGTCACTGAAATCACTTGCCTAAAATAGGGGAAAAAATACCATTCCACATTTCAATAAATTTAACATAAGTTTACAGAGCATGAGAATGCGATCTTACTTGTGCTGGCTCAAGCAATCTGGTAAATCCCATTCCCCTGCTGTTTCCCCACAGCTATGGAAACATTCCCATTCCAAATATATCAAATACTCTCTTACAAGTGACTGCTAAACCTACATTTTTCACCACTTTCTGGCAGCATATTGCAGATCATACACAAAGAAGTCTCATATCCTCTCATTACTGACTCTTCTGGAAAGAGGTCGTTCTTATTTGTCAGAACTCTTCACAAGTTTGAAGACCTTTTAAGTTGCCCTGTAAACATTCAGATACACGAAAAAATGCCATCTTTTCACTTGAAATGAAATCCGTCAACCTCGTTTCATTCTGGTAATCTCCTCACATCATCCAAATAAGCAGTTTTGATTTTCTTGTTTCCTAACTGTCTACAGCACTCTACAGTAAAAAGTACTTCAGGGAAAACAAATTAAAGTTCAATTTGCTGTTGTAAGCCTTAAAAATGGAGGATTCTTGACATGCCAGCAATCTGGCGACTCACTAATGCTTGGACAGAATTGTACATTCATAATCATCCGAAGTTCATTAATCTGTTGGGCGTAGACACTAGACAATAGAAAATTACTGGTCTTTCCTTTGATTCTTCCACTCCCATTCTTCACTGTCAAATGAAAGTTAACTGATACTTTCCATGAATCATAACTTTGTCTTTTTACCTTCTCAACACTCAAATTCTAACTATTACACATACTGCTCCATTTCAAATGTTAAGCCGTAAACACACTAATCTCTATACAAACGTAAACCTGTAAGGGATAGGAGTGGAGTGAAATGCACTATTCAGACAGCTTTATGTATAACCTAAGAAAAGGCATTATAATCCCAAGGTGCAAATTTCGTAAAATTCCATTTCTTACTAGTCTCAAGTAGCAGTTCAGCTTTTTTGTTTTCCCCTTCATACCAAGTTGAAAATAAGTGAATCAAACATATTCCATCAGGGAAACTAATAGATTGTGAATCAGCACTGCAGTGAGCCAAAACTCAGATCTTGTTTTCCTCCTGGAATTCTCTTCTTTTCCCTTTATTCAAATATCGAAAACCTTGCTAAGCGATACCCCCATTTGCAGGTTTGCACAATTACCCCTGCTCTAATAATGATGCAGATGCCACCTGTAGCAACTTTGCTGCTGCCCCAGCTCAAAACATGCAATTTTATTGGTCTGTATGGATTGGATACAGACTACTCATATGTGAACTTTTTGACCATTAAGGGGAGTCAGAGTTACACAGTATAGAAGATGAGCTTGTCACAACTCATCCCTGCCCAGTTTCCTAAATTGAACCAGTTCCATTTGGTCCATATCCCTCTAAACCTATCCTACCCACAAAACTGTCCAAATGTCTTTTAAATGTTGTAACTGTACTCACCTCTACCATTTCCTCTGCAGCTTGTTGCATATAATGCACCACCCTTTATGTCCCTTTTAAATCTTTCCCCTCTCACGTTAAACCTATAGCCTGTAGCTTTGGACTCCCCTGCCCTGAGGGAAAGGCCTTGGTTATTCACCTTATCTATAAGGCTCATGATTTTATAAAGCTCTGTAAAGGTCACCCCTCAGCCTCCTAGGCTAACCAGCCCCTCAAATCCTCAAGTCTTGATTAAATCCTTGCAAATTTTTTTTGCCCCCTTTCCAATTTAATAACATCCTTCCCACAGTAGGAAGACTAGAATTGAATGCTCTGCTTCAAATATGGCCTTACCAATATCTTGTCCAGCCATAACACGACACCCCAATTCCTGTACTCAATGCTCTGACCAATGAGGGCAAATGCGCCAAATGCCTTCTTCACCACGGTCTACATGTGGTGCCACTTTCAAGGAACTATGTATGTGCACCCCTAAGTCTATTTGCCAACACTCCCCAAGGTCCTACCATTAAATGTACAGACCCTACCCTGATTTGCCTTACCAAAATGCAACACCTCATATTTATCTAAATTAAACACTATCTGCCACTCCTTCACCCACAGACCCAGTTGATCAAGGGACTGTTGTATTCCAAGGTAACCTTCTTCAATGTCCCTAGATCATCAATTTTGGTGTCATCTGCAAGCTTACTAACCATGCCTCCTATATTCTCATCCAAATTGTCTACATAAATGCAAAAGAACAGTGGACCCAGCAGCAATCTTTGTGGCACAAGGCTGATTACAGGCCTCCAGTCTGAACATAATCTTAAAATCTGCTGCTCATGTTAGTGAAATGCATAACTCAGTCAGATAAGCAACACTGCATCATAAAATCACATGGTCCAGCAAAAATCTTGAAAATGCTGGCATTTGCATACAGTCAGTTTTATGTATTTCTTAACTGTATATTCCGGTAAGATAAGCAGATTTGCACAAAACAGAACAAGACTTCTAACAACTTCTCCAAAATGCTGCCATGTCCTTAAAATCTGCTTTATACGATACTAAAACGTATACCTTGATGAGATAAAGTAAGTTTGCACATCAAAATCAAGCTTCCTTGCAATCTCGTCCAAAATGCTGGCATATTCTTAAAATTGGTAACTTTTTTTTTTACAGAAATGCATCACTCGGTGAGATAAGCAGGTTTGCACAACAAAATCAACATTTCTAACAACCTCTCCAAATTCCCATCACTATTTTCTTCACAACTTTATTTTGCCTTTACTTAGTAAATTTACTCAAAGCAACAATGGAAATCAAGCTCTCAATTTCTGTGATAAATTCAGTATGCTACTTTATTTGCAACACTTAACCAGACAATAATTTGTTTGGTTTAATTTTTTCAGCATTGATTTCCTTGTACTGATCCAAAATTACTACAAATGAATACATCTGGACTCTGCCTCTTGCTATAAGCATCTCCTTTCCCATGTCCTGACACGACTACTAACTCTTACGGAGTATAATTTGGTAGGTGATGCATGTTGCCAAAGTCATGGGGATCATATCAATAATTCACTTTCTCACAATTACCACTGGTGTTGAAAGCAGAAACTGGCTTGTTTTGCTCCCTGCCAAGGTTAACAACTGAATACCTCAAAAACTAATTCTCATTCTTTTGTAATCCCTGTACCTTTATAATGCAGATTTATCAATTCTATTGATTAGCAGATGCTTCCTAGCCATTTGAACCTGCTTCAAAAAGAAACAATGCAAGATACAAGAAAAAAAATTGCTGACTCAAAAGGTGCTGTGAAGAAATGTATTTGCCACCCATTCACCACTGTAGATCCTGCAAGACAGTCTAGAAAATGTAATACTGTAGATGCAAAGAGCTCAGTTGAGAAGCAAAGAAAAATGCGGCAGAAATATTGGAATTTAAGAGCTGAAAGGTAAATAATTCGCAAGCAAAATCCAGCATGCTAGCAATTAGAGAGTGAATTCAGGGGACAAATAATAAACAAACAGTCAGTAACAAAACGGAAGAAATGAGCATCAGATTCAATGTTGGGTGGTATGCCACTGAACTGTAAAATAAAGTAAGGAATGGTTGGTAAGATGACATAAACCCTAGGTTTTTAAGCCAAGCTTTACAAGTATCTCAGAGGCAAGACAGGCATAGGAAGGGAACTTTAGAACCTAGGTAACTGCAGGCATAGCAACCAAAAGCAGAGGAAGGCCGTGGATAACAACAGCCTAGAATTACAGGACTGCAAATAACCGACATTTGCTTGGCAGATATGGGGTGGGGAGTGCCTCTCAAGAGATTTGAATACAAAAAGGTGAGAACATTCAAAAATTGGGAGCAAACGTTGGTCTCTGAAAACCAAGTCAACAGAACTTGGTACAGGTTGAGACCAAAGCAGGTTATAGAACCACAGAATCCCCAGAGTGTGGAAACAGGCCATTCAGCCCAACAAGTTCACACTGACCCTCCAAACAGCACCACACCCAGACTCGTCCCCCTACCCCCTCCCTGTAACCCTGCATTTCCTGTGGCTAATGCACTATCAGCAATTTAACATGGCCGATCCACCTAACTTAGATATCTTCAGAGTGTGGGAGGTAACCAGAGCATCAGCAGAAACACAAGCAGACACAGAGAGAATGTGCAAACTCTACACACACAGTCACCCGAGGTTGGAATTGAACCTGGGTCCCTGGCGCTGAGGCAGCAGTGCTAACCACTGAGCTACCATGCTGCCCCCAAGTTTATAGAGGGTAGAACAGATGGAGACCAGCCTGGAGTGCATGTGAATAGCTGAGTCTAGAGATAAGAAAAGCATAATAGAAGGATGAACAGATCAGGCAAGACCAAGCCGAAGTCAGGCAGTGCTAGACAGGTGGGAAAAGGCAGTCTATTAACGAACGCGACTGGAGCTCATCTGGAGTCAAATATCATGCAAGGGTGCAAAGAGACCGACTCACGGTCTTGCCAGGGGACAGATGAAATCAATAATTAGTGGAACAAAGGTACAACTGCTTTTAGAAATAAAACAATTTAGAAAAATAAAAATTAAAAAATAATAATTTGGAAAAGCAGAATGAGGAAAAAAATTTGAAACCACTGGCAAGAAAAACCTTTGACATTCTGATAAAACAATATAATTCAACACTTTCTGAACAGAGTGTCACATCACTGCCTAGTGCGGCGAGGAGGGTGATGGAAAAGAATCAGAGTCCCTACAGTGTGGAAACAGGCCCTTCAGCCCAACAAGTCCACACCGACCCAGAGCATCCCACCCAGACCCATCCCCCTTATAACCCACCTAATCTACACCTCCCTGAACACTATGGGCAATTTAGCATGGCCAATCCACCTAACCTGCACATCTTTGGACTGTGGGAGGAAACACACGCAGACATGGGGAGAATGTGCAAACTCCACACAGACAGTCGTCCAAGGGTGGAATCGAACCCAGGTCCCTGGCGCTGTGAGGCAGCAGTGCTAATCGTTAAGGCAAACCTTAATTTATATCTTTTCTTGAGAGGGAGGTAGGGTACCCAGAAGATGTGGGACAGTTTTGGCTGCATGTTAAGATAATTTAAAGAACATTTCACCGGACTATTAGGTGATAAATCATCAAAACTTTCAATATAGCCTTCTAGTTTATTAGTTTCAAGGCATGCTATAAAATTTTGACATATAAAGTTTCACAAAACTAAACATGGACAAACCTTTAAAAAGTATATGATAACTTATTTGGCATACCTTTCCAGTTTTCTTTGCTTTGGGTTTGCTTGCCTTGATTATTTTGGTTGAACTTTGTTGCTCTGAAAATTCAAATGGTCAGTTAGGAGTTGTTAATGCAATTGATTATTCAAGAATGTCAAACTAAAATACCTTAGAATCATTCAACAAAGATTAAGTACAACCAACAATTTAGCCTCACAAAATGCATCTTTTAATAGTTCTTCAAAAACAAAAGTCTTCTTTATGTCTTGCAGCAATTTCTGTACACTATGCATCAATGGTTTTGGTTTTCACCCTAATTCTGGAGAGTAGTCAGAAACCACATTTCCACTGATATGATCCTTTAATTTCCTGATCCTCAGAAGCAAACCAGAGCCAGGAGATTTGGCAAGTTATTGGAACAAATTCTTATCTTGTTACTTCACAATGCAGGAGGTTAAAGTTTAATTGAGAATACATTAACATTCCATTGAATTTCACTTTGTATTTTCATCATAAGGTTCTATATGCAATTTTAAAACCCAACATTTGTCTTCATGGTTGATAACACTACATATTCTGAATATTGTAGGGAGCAAAAGATCCAAGATATAGGAGCAGAACTAAGCCATTCAGCCCATCAAGTCTGTTCTGCCATTCAATGAGATCAAGGCTAATAAGATAATCCACAACACCAAGAGGAATACAGTTGAACCTAGGTATAATATTTATCAAGAAATAGTTGAAGAAATTAATAGGATAAACTGCCATGAATTGTCCAGGAAAAGGGACCCGCATTCCTCAGGTTTTAAAGAGAGATAGCTACAGAAGCAGTTGATGCATTATCACTAATCTTCCAGAATTCTGCGGTGACTAGAACTGTTTGCACAAAATAGAGGCAGCTAATGTAATCTTATTATTCAAGGAAGGAGGGAGACAAACAGGATCAGAAGAATGCGAGAATGCTTTATGAGGGGCAAGGGAACAAAGCAGTTACAGAATAATAATATGATTAGGCAGTTAGTGAGTGAATGTTGACAAATCGTGTTGAGAAATCCATCAAGTTGTTCTGAGGATAAAGAAAAAAAAGGAACAGAGAATGTTTGTATGTTCAAAAAGCTGTGATAAAGGTATTCCACAAGAGGCTATTACAGAATATTAGGGCCCATTAGACTATGATTTCTTCCCACACGTGCTGCCAGACCGACTAAGCTTCTCCAGCAAGTTATTTTTTTGTTTCAGGCCTCTAACATCCAGAGTTTTGTTTTATTCCACTAATCTGACTCCTGGGATAAGGAGAATATTCTAGGATCAGAGGTCAAGCAGGACTATATTCCCTGGAATGAGCAGGATGTTTTCTTGAAGAGGTAAAAGGACAGTGAAGGATTTTGACTTGAAAACCAGAAATTAGGTGTCATAGTCTCAGAATAAGGGGATGGCCATTTAGGATGCAGGCATGCAGAAAGCTCTTTAAAGCACATGGATCCTGGAATTCTATACTCCAGATGCTTAGTTAACACATCTAAAACAAAGACAGATTTTTTTCATATTAAGGAAATTAGGGGATAAAAAGGAATAATGCAAGGAAGTCAGTCTGAGTTGGAACATCAGCTCTAATTGCACCAAATGGCAGAGCAAGCACATGGGGCTGAGTGGTAAACTCTCAACTGCATTTATGTTCTTACCTTTCAACTGTAACTATTTACATATTCACAGCTGCAGAACTACTGGGTGGTCTATAATTATTTTTGCTTCTTTTAATATGTAAAGCCATAGATGCAAAGAAATTCTATTCATTTTTTCATGAAATTACACACACAAGGTTGTACTTCAGAAAGATAGATACCTGGACAACTGTTCACCATTTACAGAAACAACTTAAATGTCAGAAGTATGTCAAAATGTGCTGATAACACCAACGTTAGTTAAAAAAAATTCTTAAATAAGTCAGTTTCCAGTACAGGTATAACAGTTACCAAAATAAACCTGATTTGGTGCATTGCAGTAGGAAGAAAAAGGAGGCTGCATACCAAGTGTTGGGATAAAATGAACAGACTGATGTGGGTACAAATACATAGATCACTGAAGTAACTAATGCAAGTAAATTGGGTTGAAAAACCTACAATGCGCAGAGGCTTGTTTCTACAGGATACCATTGAAAAACAGGTCGTAAAGCTAGAATTTTTACAGTTACAGGCCAGAAGAATCTGCAAAATTGTTTTGAGAATATTACAAGATTTGAGAGGCTTTACTCATCATGAAACAACCAGTGGGTCCATTCTCTGGGAAAACACATCAAACAGCATATCTCTTTGGCTGTTTGCAAGCAAGGTACTGACCATATTCAAAAACCTATGCTTGCAAAAGATAAGTGTCGAATGTTAGATGTTATTTCGCTCTTAAGCATGAACTGGATAATCCTGAATGTGCAAAGCATTATACGAACAACCAATTTGGAATTTAGTCAGGCTTGGAGTGTGGGTACTTAAAGCTACATATATTAGTATAAAAGGACCCTGCTCCCTGCAGACAGTGAACATGTACACACACTGTGCGTCCTTTCAACTCATTAAATTGAGTTGCAGCCACTGACTCGTTTCTCAGGGTAATGTCTTGATTAGAGTCAAGCCACCTGGCTTAACTGCCAATTATTTCATTTGTTCATTCTCCTTGACAACTCAACTAGAGTCGCCTGCCAATTGATCAGGACTGTGCACTCAATACAAATACTGATTTCCCCTTACATTGGTATTCTTGAGAATTGTACAACAAGTGCAAAACAAAAAAAGATTTGTCAAAATGTCTGTCTTCAGCAATACAAAAATACTCCCACTGGCATTTGTTGCTCACCACTAATTACCAAAGGGAAATGGTGAGCAGTTAGCTTGAACCACTACACCATTAGGGAAAGGTGGCCTAGTAATCCAGAGACAGCAGCTTATGGAGTTCAAATTCAATTAATGGATCTGGAATTAAAAGCTAGTCTCAGTGACCACAAAATCCAATATGTTCAAAGCTATTTTGCATCACTGTATAGTCACATAGTATCACCTTGGGATGCAGATGGATACCTCCACAAAAGTAACGATCCCTTGGATGTATGAAATGACGGATTAAAGGAAGAATGGGCAATTAAAGCTACATAAAATGCTGACTCGAAACTATATCGTGGTTCATTCATGAATGCTTGATAAAAATCCTGAAGTCACTTTGTGACAGCACTGTAGGTGCACCTATAGATGGACAGCAGCAGTTTCAGAAGACATCTCAGTGTAACCTTGAAGGTTAATAAGGGATGGGAAATAAATGCTGGCATAGTCAGCAATGCCCACATCTTAACAAATACATTAAAAAGAAACCACACTGTAAAGGTAATCTCAGCAGTGTTAGCCAGAGATAATGAAGAAATGGTAACGTATTCTCGGTTCAGGGTGATATTCCTGATTTGGAGGTAGTGATATTACTGTATAACTCCATGGAGTTGTAGAGCAACTGTAGGGACACAGAACAAAACAACAAGAGGAGCAACAGACATAGCACATGAATGAGGGTTGCCAGAGGGTTAGCTTTCCAAATTAATCAAAAAAGATTGCAATACACATTCAAGGAATTGTCCTAGCATGTTAAAATTATTTTTTTAAAAAATTGAAATTTTTGCACGTAGAAAAGAAAGAAAGATTTAAAATATACAGAAAATGCTTTTACAGGAGATTCAAAGCAAGATCTGTGTGTTTTTAGTAGTCAGACATAGCTTTCCAGATGCACCAGGACTAGAGAGTTTTACAATTGAAGGACTTTGTTTTATGATAAATCAAGCAGGGAAAGTGGCACTCCATTTATATTTCTTTAAAACATGATTGTTAGCCTTGGGCTGTTTTCAGATTTTCAGATTTCACTTGAACAACTGTTTCTGGCAAACCTTACCTGCTAAAATAGAAGAAAAAGTAAAAGTAATTGACAACAGTTCTTCGAAATTCAGAAGAGTTTTAGGGATCTTCACTACTACCAATCTGGTTATTCAAAATCTGTTGGTACACTGTTACAAACTAAACTATCAACTATCACCAACCTCCAAGCAAATAAATGTGGAAACAAGGAAAATTCAGTTTTTAAAAAACAACAGCATATAACTGGTTGGCCAATGTTCCAATACCAGTCAAAGAAACCCCCCAAACATTCTGTGTTGATTATCTAGGTAATAAACATTCTACCATTTATTTTAGTAGAATGCGCAATTATGAATGACTGAAAACAAATAAAAGACCTTGTAATACAAGGTGATGTGCATCAATGGCTTTCTTTTAAAAGGAACATGAAAACTGCTATCGTACAGGCAAAAAAACCAAATGTCTTCTGATGGGTTGCTGAAGAGAAGAGACATTAGTCCAGTAGCTCAAGGCAAAGATGCTTAAATGCTCAATACAAGTGTAGCACGAAATTCCATAGTTTACCAAAGAATTACATCCCAAACCACTGCATTTGAGTACGTACAAACAACAATGATGTCAATGAAGTTGATTTTGAACTGTTTCTGAAAATAGTCTACTTTAAATAAATACACTAAAACACTTCTCAAAATGAAATTTAAATTGGGTGTTTTGTTTAAGGAGGAAATAGGGGGTTTTGGGGGTGAGGGGGTGGGTGGGCTGTTGTTTCAATCAGTACTGCCATTCCTCTTTTTAGCACTTCCACATTTTCCTGTGCAAAACATTAATCAGTGCAAACAAGTGATTTTTGATCAATTATTTCTCACATGATGCAGAACCTTAAAATGTTCAAGTTGGCAGGCACTGCTGTACAGCCTGAAAAGGAAGAGTAATTCCTTGGATACTGATGTGCTATCAATCTATCAATAATACCACTAGGTACAGTTCCATTCTTGTCAATGTCAACAGAAGGAAATACTGTTGGACTAAAGGCTGTAAAAAAAAAAAAAGGCTCCATCTCTCTCCTTGTTTTTCAATGTTGCAAGCAGCTTGTTAAATAACCCATTTCAAACATTATACTGAAGAACATGGGAGATCACGATCATATTTGCCTCCTAGTCTGCAATTATGATTTTCAGTTTTGTCAGTCAGAATTTACTAGCAAAATCCAGAAA